GCATGATGGGCTCCGGCAGCTGCAAGCAAGAACAGGGGAGGTGGGTGCTGGGGCGCCCGGTCCGGGGCTGGGGGGAGGCTCACCACCTCCGTGAGACCGCGGTGGGTCCCGCGCTGTCGAGCTGGGGAAACCTGGGGCCTTCCTACAGCAGCGAAGCACCCGCGATGCTTGCAAAGCGCGCTGCCCGCGGGGAATGGTTGTTTGTCATCTCCTGAAGGGGGTAAATACAGCCTCGCGGGTCCTAGCCAGCCAGTGCCTCTGAGGTTCAAGCAAAAAGCGGCGTTTGATCAGCCCGTGGGTGCTCTCTGCTCAGCAGGTCCCTCCGGGCCAGGGTTAAGGGATTCTCTTTTTTTCCCCTGGAAAAGCCCTGGCCCCGGGGAGGGGCAGGGCAGCGGGTTCCCCAGCAGAGGAGGGAGCGGCTGTTCTGGGGTGAAGGCAGGATGCCTCGGCGTGGCCTGCAGCAAAGGTGGGGCTGCGCTGAGGTGGAGACTCTTGCTCTGAACCTGGTACAAAGCAGCCAGAGCAGCGCGTTCACTGAGGGGTGGTTTTTGCAGGGCTGGCGGTGTTTTCAGAGCGGCTGCGGGGACAGGCCACCCCTCCCAGCGGAGCAGGTTCCCTCCAGTCCAGCACTTTACAGAGGGACTTTAAACCCATTTCCCTGCAGCAAGATGTGGCTCAGGACCGATTTCTTCGTCTCTTTCCACTCTGCTTTTCTCTGGAGAAGCGGCGGAGGCCATCCCGAGCCCTTCTCTCCTCTGTGCAGGGAACGCAGGCGGGAGCCTCCCTCCTCGAGCTGAGCCCGATGCCCGAGCTGACACACATGGAGCCCTTCCCGGGCGCCACACCAGCCCTCGCAGAACGGCAGCACCGAAGGGTTAAGGCTGCAGAGAAGCTGCTTCCTCTGCTGCCTTGTGGTGGCTCCTGGGAGGATGTGGGTGATGCTGTTTGTGCCTCCAGTTTGGGTACTGGGGGGGTGCCTGGGGCAGAGCCGCCGTGGGCAGCAGGGCACAGCCCCGAGCCCACCGCAGGGCGACGCGAGGGGCACGGCCCTGCCCGGGGA